GCCCAACATTTTTGTTTTTTTATTTGCTTTGGTGTTTTTTTTTTCTTGTTTTTTTTTTTCTTTTTAATATGGCAGTGACAAGACATCGGAGGTTACGGAGTCAAACTCACAAGGTCAGGGATTCAAAGTCGCAGGGTCAGGGTGAAACAAATTCAGGCTGATATTTTTTTGTCTTGGCTCCTAAATAAAAGATCTTTAACTAAAATTCGGTTAAAGGGAGCACGTTTGACAATATCCGTAGTCGTAATGGGACGTGAAATGCCGGTAACCTGAATCTTGGTTTGATATAACACGATTAGAGTGGCGTGGAGTGGCGTAGAGTGGTCTAGAGAGGCGTAGAGTGGCGTACAGTGCCGTATGGTGCCGTAGAGGCCACTCAAACAAAATTAAAATAAGTTGTTTCGCAGCCATTATTTGTAGCGAGATATCAAGCAGAGACAGACAAGGAAACAAAATGAGGTTCGGAAAAAATATAATTGAGACTTTTTGAAAAAAAAATACCCTTCGAAAACTGACTCTGTAAAAGTCTTCCTGGAGTTCATTTTCCTAGCATTTTTAAAATGTAAAAAGACTAGTATTTTTTTTTCTTACACTCTAGAACAGCGTTTCCCAAACTGTTAAGTTTCACGGCCCGGTGGACAAGTTTCGAAACTGCACCAGTGGACCAGTGCCAGATTTATTAATTAATTTTCTTTCTATTTAAACATCAATATTCATGCTCTCTGGACCGGTAACGTAAGGCTTGCGGACCGGTGCCGGTCCACGGACCACTGTTTGGGAACACGCTGCTTTAGAAGAATATAATGTTGAAACTAGAGTGGTGCGGAAAAAAGAGTGTGGGGGGGGGGGAAACAGCCTCGAGCAACATTGTGTGGTTAATATATTACATTATATTAATGATGTGGGTGCTTATGGTTGACCGGGGGGTGGGGGGGTAGTTTGCGCACTATTGGGACATGGCCCGGGGCTAGCATTTAGTCGAGGCACGCGCACTGAGATTGGTTTCATGTTAGAATGTTTGGGTTGTTCACGTAGTCGACGCGCGCACACTTCAGAGGTTTTACCGTTACACGTATATGCACTTCGGATGTTCACACAGCGCCATGTATTACATACAACCTATCTTCTTTTCGTTCCTTTTTTTTTTCTTCTGTAAGCTGGTCCGGCACCCCCATGTGCCCTCCTCTGGGCTTTTGCATTTTTCTCCCTCACTGAGATTCCTCCTGCCTTTCAAAACCCTCCAGGTAAGCCTAAACTTTGACCCCCCCCCCCACACCCCTGTTCCTCACTCCCTCCCACGCCCACCTTTGACCCAATGCCTCGGGTAAATGCGATATATCTCATAACTCACTCCCAACGTTGCCGTCAATGTTTTGTTTCGTGCCTCCGTGGTTTTTGGTGTGAGTTCTACAAACTCAATAATGGAAGGAACGGCGTCCAATAAAGGTTTGTAAATGCACTTTTTAAACATTTTGTTGTTGTTAAAACTAGTTTAAAATAAATATTATAACTAAACACGACTGAACTGAATAGCTGCACTGATAAAATGAAACATTCATGCTGTTTTTATAAGTCATGGTCGAGTTTGTTCAAAATAAAGGGGAATCCAGTTCAAAATTTATGGCCTTTTTGCTGTGCAGTTTAAACATATTATGAAATTGCAGTATGTGCGGATTAGATTGGGGGCGGAGGGGTGCTTGATAGATTGGCGTTTAGAGTAGGACTACTGTAGAACTGGAACACATTTTTCTGATATCGCTCTATCTCCTAATTCACTGAAATTAGTTGTTTTTTTTTTAAATAATTGTAATCATAAAATTTGTATTAAAATACTATGGCACATGCTCACACATACACACACGCTGGAGTGATCTAAAAATAATAAACCCCCATATCGGTGACGTTCGACCCCAAAACAAGATGGCTCCCACTCTGGCCCTCCAAACAACGTTGCATCGTGCTGTGAAGCTAGAGAGTCTAGCATGCTGAATGATGTGTCCTCCGTTTTCTATCGGTTTGTCGGGGGGGGGGGGCGGAGGGGAAAACACCCCGGCCAGGGAGGATTTCCCACTTTGTATGCTCCCACTCTGGCCCTCCAAACAACGTTGCATCGTGCTGTGAAGCTAGAGAGTCTAGCATGCTGAATGATGTGTCCTCCGTTTTCTATCGGTTTGTCGGGGGGGGGGCGGAGGGGAAAACACACCGGCCAGAGAGGATTTCCCACTTTGTAAGATTTAAATTATGTTCAACTTCAGCTTTTAAGCGGTAGAATCAAAGCGTGACAATGTGCTACAAGCTAGCCGTAAACTAAACACACACTCTTCCCACTGATAGCTAGACTTTGATTTTTTAAGGGAGGGATGGGAATTGTAAAAATAATTCTGGACTGGAAATTAATAGGTATTAATTATACCATTTTAAATATATATATATTTTTTTTTTTTGCGCTACAATTTTCTTCTTTTATTTTCAGGATGGAGTTATGAATTTGGTTACTGAAGAGAGAACGGGTTACCTTTTAACTGATTAAGGTGTTTTACTTTGGCTAAGACGACCTTGACATCATGAGAATTCTGTGCTTCGAGAGGGACAACCTGACCCAGCTGACCGACCCGGATTTCAACTGCGACATGTACACCGCCAGTTTTGAGTTGTTCCCCTTTCACGAGGGCTCCACCTACTCCGTCTACAAGGGCCTCATCAACGGCAAGGGGCCACTCCGGGGCCAGCTGTGCGTGGTGAGGGCCCTTCTGGACAGGTCAGCCAGTGCCGTGGACTGGAAGTTTGTTCTAAGGCGGGCCGTGGACGCACGCCAGCTGACCATTGAATTCAACAAACAGATGGGCTACAACGTCCTGAGCGTCTTGGTGCCGATGCTGACCCAGATGGAGACGGTGTCGGACTTCACGTGCCTCTTCAGGTGCTTCATGCCTCACGACAAGCGCCTCAAACGGGAAGAATACGTCACAGTGGAGCCCTTTATAGAAGGCAGGTTCCGTTACCTGGACTCGAGACCGCACACAAATCCGGTTGCCGGGGATCTCAAACTGGACCCAGAAGACAACAACAACGACGAAACCGCTGACCAGGACCACGGTGACGCGGACAGCGACGCGGCCAGCGTTCAGGATCCGGTGACCCCCGCGGCAAACTTAGCGGACGCTTTCAGCCACTTCACGTGGCACGTCACCAAGACCATGGTCGTCTGCGACCTCAAGGGCGTCCACAACGATCTGATCTACACCCTCTCGACCCCTACCATCCACTCCACGCGACTCCTCTACGGCGACACCGATGGGGGCACCCTGGCCATCTCCGAGTTTTTCTCCTCCCACCGTTGCAACACCATCTGCAGCAGGTGGGACACCTTCTGCCCCAGCAAACACAGCAGCCAGTACCACAGCCCTTGTAGAAACTTCCATCAACAGGAGAGCCCCAGCCGATTCAGCGTCCAGCCGGTCAGTTCCTCCACGCAGCAGTTAGCCGCCGCCCCGAGCCTGCCCCCGCAACCCCAGGCCAGCTACATCCACCAGCCGCAGGACCCGTCCTCCTATTACAACTGCAACCCCGCGGAACCGAATGTCCCGCTTCATATGGAAAATGGCTATCAGTTTTCTTTTGTGTAGTAGCAGAGATATAGATTTTTTTCCCTATAAAATTACAAGTCTTAAGTGCAAAATGTTCAACAACAATCTCGAAATGTTGTAAAGGGAACTCTTCGATATCCTTGTAGAGATCCAAACTTAATCGATATTCTAGGAGAAATCTAAACAGAATCGATATTATGGGAGAGATCCAAACGGATTTGATATCCTAGGAGAAATCCGAACGGAATCGATATCCTAGGGAAAATGCAAACAGAATCGCTGACGATATTGAAGAGCCATCAAAACGTCAATTTTTGAAAAAAAAACTTTTACCGACAAGTTCAAATCCTTAACTTACCTACTTTATGCATACTGGTATACAAAAATTATACCTTGATTGGAATGTTAGGTAGCACACGTCAGTGTTTGTCACATTATTTTTAAAAGGGTTGACCGGCAGGAACTTATTCAGTTGTTGCACTTATTTGATCTACGTAGAATATTCACATTTAATTGACCGGGTAATCTTTGCGGATCGACCCTTTAGAAACACTGGTGTGGGGAATGACAATAGGGTTTGTCATTTCTAAGACCGGACACCCGTCACACCGCATTACGCGATGTTACTATTTTTAGACAAGGTTTTCGTAAACATTGCATACATCAGTAACAATTGCTTAAAAAAAACAAGTTTTCGTCTAGGTTGAGACCCACTGCGCTGACTAACTTTTGTATACCCAACAGCTGTTGAGTGAATAGCCAAACGGATAACTCGGATGTTTTATTAATATTATTGTCGCCCTTTTAATGATATGGGTCAAACTAAATCCCGGATGTTCTTTTAATGGATTTCCGTCATTAAATTACAAATCTTATATTCGTGTATTATGAAACTTCTGATATTCCGGCTAAGTAAGTGACTTCCCCTGGTGTACAGCCTGAACAACCTTGGCAACGTAGTCGATTTTTGGTTCGCTGATTTCGTTTTATTTCCAGTTATTAATCAAAACGCACCCACACGTATTAATCATTTTAAAAACCACCTTTTCTCGTCCAGTTAAAGGAAATAGCAAACTATTATTTTTATAAATGTTTCAAAAAAGGTATATAAAATATATTTATATAATTAGTAGAACTGTTTCGAGACAATTTGGAATCATCTATTGGGGGGGGGAAGGGGGGGGGGAGGAGGAGGGTAATAATTAGAACTAAATAAATTTAACTCATTAGGAACATATTTTTGTAAAATCTACTGAAAAAGAAAATGTTTATTTAAATTCTCACCCCCATATGCAAAACTCGGTCCTATTTTTTTTCTATAAATAGCTGTCGAAAATGTGTTTCGTTTTGAAGCATTTATTTATTTATTTATTTTTTTAAAAGTAGAAGTGTATAAAATCTAATTCCGAGCAAGCGTCTGACGATGTAATCCGTAAGGGAATTGTGTCTTATATAATGTCAGCTTACCAGTAAACCACTAAAACAGACGACTCGCAGTCTTTAACGATGCACAGCGTAAAAGACACCAAAGAACTCCTCCTGGTCTGGTCTGAGGTAGGGGGTGGTGCCAACTTTTGTAGCTTCGAGCCAGATTCAAGAGGTAACAGAGCCATGGGAGCCATAAATGGTGAAAGCAGGTGAGGGGGGATTTTACCCTAGTCATGGGGAATTCATCATTTAACAAACAAACGAAACAAAACAACAAAGAAGTGTCTATTCGCAGAAATCTGGGATTTCACCAGAAAAAAAGGGGGACAACCCCCATATAGCAATAACTATCTGCAGAAAAAAAGGGACAACCCCCATATAGCAATAACTATCTGCAGAAAAAAAGGGACAACCCCCATATAGCAATAACTATCTGCAGAAAAAAAGGGACAACCCCATATAGCAATAACTATCTGCAATCGAAAATTTAAATTACTCAATTTTTCTTTTCAATTTCAGTGAAATATCTCAAATGCACTTTTATTTTGTGATTTTATTTATAGCATTTATTTATACTGCTCCTTGTTATTATTGAATTTGTTTTCTATTACAAATCTTTATATTTTTTTCGGCTTTAGTTAAAAAATAGTTCAATACTAAAGTGGTCTTATTGACATAGGCTGTGCCGAACTGACTTATATTATCAACAACTTGGTCTTGTAACAAGCAATAAATAAAGTGCAATAAATTTCATGTTTACCCAGAAACCAATGAGTTGTTACATCCATTATTCTATTTACACCCCACCCCCACACATTTTATTTCTTTGTGCGACGAGCTCAGTCACATTAGCGTGGGGGGGGGGGAGGGGGTGATCATTGAAACAAATTCAATTTTAGTGCGGTAGGGGGTGATCATTGAAACACACTCAATTTGTGCGTTTACCTCAATATCTACAATTACTATTCACTAAAACTTATTTCTCCGTTATTTTTTAAAGACCACCAATGCATTTTTTAAAGAAAAGATTTTCATGGCTTTTGGTTTTATTTTTAAAGCCTTTTTTATCAACTTCGGTTTTTTTTGTGTCTGGCTGGGTGGCAAAATTTTCAGACGGCTAATTGACCCACTTTCCGTCGAGCATCATCGGGATAGGACAGCGCCGTTTCAATCCAAAAATCAACACACCACATTTCACGGAAAGCATGTTTTGCCTCCCCCCTCACTATATTTTTTTAAAAACCATAACCTGTTCATAATAAATTTAAATTGTCCTCCAAAGGCGGATCACACACGGAGAGTACAAATGGGTTGTTGATAAGTCGATCAATTTTTGTTCTTTCCAAAATCTCGTATAGGTCAGGCAAATAGCGAGACATTTCTTGGCTAAGAATTGATACGAGTTGTCTCTCCACCCCCCCCCCCCCCCCAGAATATCATCATCAACGTTCAGCTCATGTTTACATGTGTTTATCCGTGGAAATTAGGGGCAACACGGCTTCCTCTCTAACTTTGCAGGCCACAGTTGGAGCTTCATCTTGAAAGCTGTCAATCTTTAGGGACAGGTGAAACACCGAGATCTCTTTTTCCGTGCATCATACCCCCCTTCCCCCCAAACCAACCTTCCCAAAACACAGGGTTGATGGATTCCACTGAATCAATTATGTCGACCGAAAATGACAGGGATGTAAGAAAACAGACATCAGAGGATTTTGCATTCATGTCTGGTTTGGAGTCTTGCAAAAATTGCTGCATTTCTTCGCGTAGTGTGAAAACGCGCTTCAAATCTCTCCCATCGGAAAGCCGCTTCAATGTTCTCCGATGCTGTTTGGGCTTCTCAGGGGCAGCTATTCTCCTTGAAACCCTCAAAAGAGGCCGGGGGGGGGGGAGGGGGGTGGATGTCACCAACATTAATGCTCTGCGAAAACATTCCTGTGTTGTCAAGCCTTGATGTGTGCAGTCCTTCAGCTCGTTTATTGAGCCGAGATGTTTCCTCGAAGAGAGTTCGGAGAAGTATGCTTCGTCGAAGAGAGTTCGGAGACGTATGCTTCGTCCAACCCACGGTTCCATTCTCTGGTTGAGCTCTAAGTTGAGCTCTAAGTTTAGCTCTAAGTCTCTAAGAATTGACACGCCGGCTGTGGGAGATCAGAGAGATAGACGCAAACTGGAACGCCTCGTGTTGTTGACGCTTCACAAAATGCGAACTATTTCTGGGAACACAGTGGGCCTGAAACTTTGACACACACACGCTGCTGGATTCCGAGAAAGTAAGGTATCAAATAACTACATTATGCAAGTGGTTCTCAAAGTTTAGTGACTACATCATGTCTCACAGGAACTAAAGTGGATTCCTCCATGGAACTAACCATTACCGGAAACATTGACTTCAAGCACGGCTCTACTATCAGCAATGTCAAGCACGGCTCTACTATCAGCAATGTCAAGCACGGCTCTACTATCAGCAATGTCAAGCACGGCTCTACTATCAGCAATGTCAAACAGGGCTCTACTATCAGCAATGTCAAACAGGGCTCTACTATCAGCAATGTCAAACAGGGCTCTACTATCAGCAATGTCAAACAGGGCTCTACTATCAGCAATGTCAAACAGGGCTCTACTATCAGCAAGGTTCCCCAGTTTCAAAATTAAGATCTCTTTTCTTTTTTTTTCATTAACGTCCTCCAGCTCAAATATTTATCTTTTAAACGGCTGCTCAGAAATAGTTCGCTTCCCTTGGCGGGGTATGGTGAACTATTCCTGTTCAACAAGAGACAGAATTAGTGTATAGGCCCCAACAGTTCCCTGGTCTCGCTTCATTGGTCTGGGAAGTTCATATTAATGGACGTGATCAGGTGGAGTATAGATGATTGGTTTTATTGATTTGAGTTTCAATTCAGTTTTTTTTTGTGATGTTGTTTATTGGATTTTCCCCTTTAATTGTGGACCACTGAATGTCTAGAAATAGTTTACCAGAATGGAACAGTTAAGTCTCGAAAACAAATTTTTTTTTTCCCATGCGTCTGAAACAACAATTATAAATGACACAAATATATTGACATATCCTGGTTGAATGTGCGATGCTATTATTGGTGTTTCTTTTTTTTTTCTTTTTTTTTTGAGTTTCTTTTCTTCACTTATTGTTGTACAATTACATAATGTGGAACACCAGCTGAGAGTCTCCGGCCCCCTTTGCTTCTGTTTGCATGCTCCAGTTGATATATACAACCCTTTGTGAAGCGACTGGTGTTACGTTACAGGAAGGTTGCGTTCAGAAATGCGAGCATAATGCGGCAAAATTTATAATAGAAAAAAACAAACAATATGTTATAATAATAGAGTTCCCTTACCTGAAGCTTTGAATTGTTTACGCTAAATGGAATGCACATTTGTTGCGTCTGCTCTCTATAGACAATTAGACAAATGTGCAGTGATATTATTTATGATCGGTAAATAGTTCAGCGGTGATACTGTGGTGACACGCATATAGGCCTAAATACAGTAGCGTCGGTAGTAGGGCCGCCCCTGGAGACGCACTCACAAATTCAAAAAATTGCACATTTGATAGTGCTCGCTAGAATCTGTTTCGCAACAGATCTGAGTTAAATGTTACAGCAGTGTGTCGCTGGAAAGAGAAGGGTACCACCATACCGAGCAGGGTGTCACCAGACCAAGCAGGGTGTCACCAGACAGAGCAGGGCGCCGCTAGACAGAGCAGGGCACCACCAGACCAAGCAGGATGTCTACAGACAGAGCAGGGCGCCGTCAGGCAGAGCAGGGCGCCATCAGACCAAGCAGGATGTCACCAGACAGAGCAAGGCGCCGTCAGACAGAGTAGGGCGCCACCAGACCAAGCAGGATGTCACCAGATAGAGCAGGGCGCCGTCAGACAGAGCAGGGCGCCACCAAAACAAGTGTCACAGGGAGGAGGTTCGTGGATAAGTTTAGAGGACGTGAAACTAACAGTTTACACTAATGGGTGACACCCAATCTAGAGACGCCACTACCTACATACACATGTACAAAAAAACACTAATGTCGTCATAAATTTAATAAAATAAAGTCTTATCTTAAATGCAACAGTGACTCAAACACTAGCTTGCCAATCTATCTTTTTCCTAGAAATTCAGGTAATAACTCCAACCCCCACCCCCCAGATATTCCCGTACCTCCCCTCCCCCTTTTACCCCTTTTAACTTCGAGACGGAATCGGAAAATTGGTTCTTTAATAAACCGTCAAAATCGTTTAGCACGTTGTTCTAACAGATCCGTTTCAATGAGATCTTAGCCTGCAATGGTGCCACCAGAAAACCCTAAGTAAGTAAACAGAGATCAAATGAATTTTATGCGTGAAGATTTCACTGCACATTATGGTCAGGTTTTAGACTTGATTTATGGTCAGGTTTTAGACTTGATTTACAGTCAGTTTTTAGACTTGATTTACAGTCAGTTTTTAGACTTGACTTATGGTCAGGTTTTAGACTTGAATTACGGTCCGTTTTCAGACTTGGTTAAGCGTCGGTTTTAGACTTGATTTACGTTCAGTTTTTAGACTTGATTTACGGTCAGTTTTTAGACTTGATTTACGTTCAGGTTTTATACTTGATTTACGGTCAGGTTTTAGACTTGACATAGATAAGTGGACAAATTAGTTGCTTGTCTTATTGCATGTGCAGCACATCACCAATGATTGTGAAATCGATGAAAAGTTGTGCTGATGCAAGACTGCATGTGACCTTCT